TGAGGACATTGGCTCTTAATAATGGTCTTCAAGTATGATTCGTAGGTCGAAATAGCAATAGGGTAGCCCACTTGGTGGCTAGAAATGCACTTTCTTTGTATACGACCTCGTGTCAAATTTTTTGTTTTGTTTTTGTGCCTAGCTTCGATTTAGGGTGTAATTATGTGATATATTCTTCCATCAATACATATGATTATCTCTTTTAAAAAACTATCTGGTTAATTTTGTAAACCAAACTATTTACAATATCTAAAAATTCGATGGTTGCGCTCAAGCCAAATGTTCCAAGACAATTCACCTTAAATCAACACATGAGAGCTCCTAATCTCATTTCAACTCATCTCTCAACTACAAATCCCCCCCTCCCTCTCTCTTCTTCTATATTCTCTTCTCTTGGTGTTGTCATTATGATGTTGTCTTTCCTGGTTCTTTTTTTTCATACCACTCTCGGAAAGCCTCCTTCAATTCTTATTAATGCAGTAAAAAATGCGATTCTATATAAAAGCGTTTTTGTGATGTAGAATCTGTTGGAAGTCTTGATCATCAGAAAAGAGAAGACGAAACCATTCGGTATTGGAATAGATTTTATTGATATGAAAGTAAAATTACACAATTTATTTACAATCACAGTATATACAGTTCTGACTAAAGTCCTAATTAAAGCATGAATAAAATAATCATTGCATATTTGATCCTATACTATTACAAACTTGCAAACATGTCCTCAATCTTTATCTTCGGACAACAAAAGCATAAAAACGTAAAGTTTAAAGCACAATTTTACTTATATTAATAAGAAAAAAACATAATTTTATGTAGAAGTATTTTGGTGACCTATAAATATAAAAAACATAAATTTTTATGAAATTTATGTTTTAAAACAAGATTTCGACTACGGTCTCATGCCTTCTACATTATTTTAGATATAAGAAACTATCATGATTCCTGTGGTAAACTTAAATAGAAGAAAAGGAGAAGAGGGAAATCTCCCACAACCGATCGAATTGCTCGTTACCCCACACGCACATATATTATTCTGAACTATGTCATCATAATTCATAAAGAAAGATCACCCAATTAAAGGTACCCTAAATGCATATGTCCACCTTTATAAAAAAAAAATGCATATATCCACCACTAATCATTCTATTTTCACCTTATAATTACCTTTTGCAGTGCCTAATGAGGCATCCTACAGCCTAATGATTAAGCTGCGTTGCGTCAATAATGCTTATTATGTGGCCTATGGCTTTACATACACGTGTATCTTGTCAATAATGAAGAGTTAATTAAAAGGCAAAATACATTTTTATAACCAAAATTTTCGTGTTTGTGCCAATAATAACCAAATTTAGAGAAATGCCACTTATAGTCACTTTCATCAAATACTTTAACTTTGTCATCTGACAAACTGATTGGACAAACAAAAAATGTTGATTTGATAATATTATATCAACAACACTACCATGTAGATTAATAAAAAAATTAATAAACCCACAAATCATTTTATTTTCTTTCTCCCTCCCCCTCCCCCTTCCCCTCTCTCTCTTCTTTCCCCTTCTCTCTCCCACAGATGCATCTCTAGATCTACTAAATTGAAATCCAAAACCAGATAATTGAAGCATAAAATCCCTTGTCTCGACAATCCAAAAATCCCATCCAAATCTCAATCGAAATGGCACCATAATCGATTTCTGCAGCAGCTCGAATGACAACACTAGTTGTAGCAATATCATTGCTAACAATCGCGGCATGGAGCCACCACCACCAGCAGCCTTCAATTGGGTCATCGGTTGGCTATAAGTAGTATTTATTCAAATTTGACTATTATTAGCACAAACGTGAAATTTTTGGCTTTACAAGTGTATTTTGCCTAATTAAAAGGATTAGTTATGTTCCATCAATATGCAACATATTGATTTGTCTTAACTTTTTACCGATCCAAATATTTTGATAAAATTTCAAGTAACTTTCTGATACACGTGTATACAGCAATTTAGGAAAATGATTTAGTTGTAAGTAGTAGGATTAGAGGGTTTAACATAAGGTAACTAAATCTGGACATTTGTTTTAAGTGGGACCAGAAAATCTAGATCTAAGTGTTGTGATTAAAGACATTTTATTTTTCCTAGTTTTTTTAATTGGCTTTTATATTCTTTGTTATGCTCTTCAAAATAAAATCAATTTTCAGTATTTTTTGAGAAATTGTTTTTCATACCTCTCGTTACTAACTCCATACCATATGACATCTCCTTCATTTTTAAGTCGTTTTTAAAAAATTTTGCATAGAAGGAACAAGTTCATAATGATCTATTGGATCTACAAATTTATGGGAGAAAAAGATACTGACAAAAAAATACCATATTATACCACCCTGGTATGGGGTGGTAACTTGTGGTACACAATGATGAAAGTCGTAAATGACAGTTAGTATACTCCTACTATCATGTATTCAACCATCCTACAGTCTTGGTATGTTCATACCACCATAGTACGCTTTCATACCATATGATATGTTCTTATTTAATACCAATCAATACCATATGTTATAGACTGGTAAAAATTGACTCAATTTTTTTGTTCAAAAAATATATCAAAATGAATATCATTATGAAGAGCACAATTAATATGATTTATCTGTGCAAAAATTTAAATTCCGACTTAAAACGAGAGAGAAATCGTTCGTTAAATATTAAAGAGAAAAAAATTTAAGGTTACCATAAGAGAGAGAGGATGTTGATGTCATGCTGATGTGGACAAGTTACTCATAATTACTGATCCTAAGGTTACTGATCGGATCTGCTCCCAGAGTAGAGGGACTATTTCAGATATTGTAAACGAGAAAAAGCTGGCATTTTGGTATACTGTTAGAATTAATCAAATAACAACATAATTGCATAACTCTTCTTTCTATTCTTCCTCTTCTTCTTAATTTCTCTTCTTCTTTCTCTATTATTCCTATTTCTGATCCCCAATTCCAATTCCATCTCATTTCTTGCTCCATCAGCTTGCCGAAAAAGATCCAAATTGGTCACGGTCGTTGCAAGTGGTATCAGAGTCCCTTTTTCGGCAGTCATGGTTCCGCCGATGTGTACGATAAAAGACCGGTTAGTAGAGGTAGAATAATGGATGACAGCTGGGGTTCAGGATATGAGGTTTTGCCTAGATAATATGGTGTTGAGGTAAGGTCTCGGGGAAGATGTTTCGACTTCAAGGAGCCTTACAAAGATGATGTTTTGAATGGCAACAATAGAATAATGGCTTATGAGGTTACTTTGTGTGAGTCTTTGTTGTGATTTTGTTGCGCTTTTTGACAAGGGTATCAGACTTGGTCTCAAGGAGAATTGTGAACTGCCTAGAGATGTGCAAGAACGACTACTAATGTGGTTGCTGATGTTGTATTTCATGTTGCTCAATGGTCACTTGTGGTTCCATCTTGACAGGATTCATTCCTCCTCATATCCTCTATGTGGACACCACATTTTGTCCAGGACAACAACTATATTTAAACTCAGCTTTGACCGCCATCAGCTTTCTATAAATACCCCTCTTGCTGCACTTTTCAAGGGAGAGCTGACTTAGAGTGAGAAAGTTAGGGTTATTGGTTGTTTTTGGAGAGGGAAACACCTTGCGAGAGCTTAATTAAAGATCCAATCCACCCAGGGAGCAAGAAGAAGGTGCAAGCAAGGAGAAGAAGATTGATTCCATCACTCCCTCTCTTCTAGATTGTGTTTTCTTTCTCTCTCTATGACTTGAATCTATAATGGTTGTGTACGAAAGATGAACCCTAGTTTATAATTTGTGAATGAATGAATTAGGTTTGAATGTGTTTATCTAGTTGATTTCATTGCTCCTCTAGCTTCAAATGTGTTTGGGTAAGTCGCATTAATCTTCTCTACTAGCCTACTTGAGATTCTACGGTGGGTATAGAGTTTTAGAGTTCGACGGGTATGTGCCATCAAGCAAATTATGTTAAATGAATGAATAGGATCTTATGGTGGATGAGGTGACCGTACCTCTTCCATAGGAATGCCTTCCTAGATAGAACCCGAGATGAACCTCAGTGTGGACGTTGGGTAGTACCCATTGAAATGAGCTATCTTCTTAATGCCCCATATACAATAGCCTAGATCGAGGCGACTAGCATGGGTTTAGGGGAGGCATACTCGGAGACATGTGGATAACCACAAAAACCCACGAAAAAGAGCTCACTCACCACATTCTCTTAACCCTACTTGACAATCATAGCTAGGAGGATTTGACCCTAGACAACCGTCTCATATCTAACGATCTCCCAACCACTTGGTCGGTTGTTTATTTTGCCTTTAAAAGTATATTAGATTAGTATAAACACCGAACGTTCCAATTCTGAGTGCATAGTAGTCATCTCGCACGAAATGGCACATTGCCAATTTCCCCATAATGACATGGTCTTCTTTTTTTCCATAAGGAAACCCTAGCATTTATAGCCGATAGTTTAACTTTCTCTCAAGAGAGCAGAGGAAAGCACATCAGTGATCAAATCATTTGTACAACTTTCTAGGTTCACACCTTTGGAAGGAAAGCTTTGAACCTTTTCATTTGATGGTCGGAAGACGGAGGCGCGACAACTTGTTTTGTATTTTAGAGTGAGCCGAATGGAAGTACGATTAGGAGTGGTTGGGAACCAAGAATGAAACTATCAAAGTGATGCGAGCAGAAATGATGTTGTCCAGATACTTTATGTATCACTCTGTCATTTAAGCAGAGGTTAAGCAATGGTAGACTTGCAATTGAATCCTGGTTCGACAAGGACTGGACAGAAGAAGGAAACGTTTCTTATTTAGAATCGTCAATATTGTTATTATTATAATATTAAAAATCATAACAACAAGCGTCGCTTTGGCCGAGTGGTTAAGGCGCTTGCCTGCTAAGTAAGTGGGGTTTCCCCGCGTGAGTTCGAATCTCACAGGCGACGCATTATTTTTTTCTACTCTTTCTAGTTTTTATCCTCTACAAAATTTAAATCTCACCTTAATTTTCGATTTTAGGTTGGACTCGACCAATCCAGAACCAGAAGCAATCTCCATCAATCCTCCCTCCCAACCTCCCCCGTCGCCGGCCGTCGCCATTCCTCGCGCCGGCCTCAGCCTCGGTAATGAAAAGATCCAATCTTGGTCCTCGGTTTTTCTTCTCCGGCTCAAAGTTTTCACCTTTTTATTCTTTTTTTCTGATTGGTTAATCAATCCGATTTTGTTTGATTATTCTCTTCCCCAAATTGCAGCACCGATTCAATCGGATCTTCTATTCGCAGCTTGGGATCTCATCACAGTCTCCGGACGAGCAAATGGTAAGAGAGATCGAAACCCCCTATAGCTCAAAGCTTCTGTTTCTGAGAAATGGTTCATTAGGGTTTTAATATCAGCTGGGCAATTTAATTCACGCATATGATTGCGAGTGGTTCTTCTTCATTTCATTGCTAGGTTTATCACTCTAGCTTCGTGGCCGACGATGGAGTTACAAGAGCTTGCGGCTGCCCGTTACTCCCTTTGAAATCACACATAAAGGGCCCTGCTCCAACTTCAGATCAAGGTTTGAAGTCTTTACTCATCCAAGGTCTGAAGTTGTTTTCTACTCGTAATCAATTACAGTTCTTCTAAAAAGCGTTTACAGAAATTGGGATTGCTGCCTCTTAGTTTCCCTCCTTGATGTGGTTTTCTGCAGATACAACTGATATAGTCGATGAAGCTATTACCTTTTTTCGTGCTAATGTGTTCTTTAGAAACTTCGACATCAAGAGCCCTTCCGATAAGCTTCTCATCTACTTGACCTTCTACATTAACGTTGCGTTGAAGCGCTTAGAAGGGTGCAGGACGTTAGCTGTAGGCACGAAAGCCATCATTAACTTGGGGTTGGAGAATGTTCCTGTCCCTGGAGAATCCGGTTTCCCCTTTCCCGGGCTGTTCATTGAACCTCAGTCTCACAATGAAGCAGGTGAAATTCGGTTACTTTCTCACTATCATTACACTGCTCTGAATTGTTAAGCATCAGAGGTTACTGTTTGATATGTGAGTAAATTGGTCGAGGTGGAATGACCATAGTACTGTCTGATTCTCCCACCCCTGAAATTGATTTCAGCAGGTTTTAGGATTTTTCTCAACCAGATATAGTTTTGAATAGAATATTATGGTTTTAGTAGTGAAATCTGACTCTTCGAATCAGTGGTAGAATATATGCTTTTGAACCTGACAAATCTTGGTATATGCTGAATGCTGATTGTGTTAAGCTAATGTGAGCCTACGAATCTTGGCTGTTGAAATGTGATGAATGCAGAGCTGTTTAGGGATTACCTTAAGCAGATAAGGGAAGAAACGAGTGGGAGGCTATTGAGCGTTGCGTATCGTGTCAATGGGACTCCAAACAAGTGGTGGCTGGCGTTTGCAAAGAGGAAGTTCATGAATGTCATTGCTCTTTGATGCAGCGCTTATTTCGCAGTGCGCAGTATTGTTTGTTGGTTTCGTGAAATGTAGTATATATACATATATCATTGTTCATTGTGTAATATGTTCCAGAATAAGTCTGGTCTTGTGGTGTAGAAAGTTTCACTTCAGTCGCAAATCAAATGGATGATGATGAGTAAGTCACTATCTCATAGGCATCATGAATCCAACCTTCACCAGTTTCAGCAGCATCTTATGGTACCCTTTGTATCCTTCTTTGTCCGCGTCCATGAATGCAAAGTAGAAAAGTTTCGTACTTATTTAGCTTGGTTTTACCTGAGGAAAGTACTCGAGTACTATGTGTATGAACTTGTTCCATTTAGGCTTTGAAGAAGTTGTTTCCATGCAGGAGGATCAGGGGAGTGAATGAAGTTTGATTTTGTGAGCCACCCCTGCCATTTGGATGTAGGGCAATCCAACTTCATATGCTTCTTTGTCCGTGTAAATGGCTGCTACCTGCAAAATCAAACTTCATTCGTCGTACGAAACAGTTAAACGCCTAATGATGAACAGTGATGACATTATTATGGATCAAGTTAAAAGCATTGTAAGTTTGTAACAAGAAGATACAAAAGTGATCTCTGATAGAGGATTAAAGGTACGGTGATGAAAGTAAATCTGAAATGTGTTTTATGACTAGGCCATCTTCAGCTTTGCGTGGGCAGTGGAGAGAGTAACAGATGAAAACAATAATCTCAATAGGACTACTATTTGTTGCCTATAGACACTTTCACCCTTAACTACTTTTTTTAACATTCCAATCACAATCGCCAATAGCATCAATGTTATCAAAATTGTGATTCTACGTAGAAGCATTTTGGTTAACTAGAAGATTAAAAATGTAAGTTTTTAAACTTTGAAAGTAGGTTTTGACTACACATATAAGTGAAAAGTGCAACGTACAAGCGTTTTGGTGATTTAGAAGTGTAAAAAAATAAATTTTTTAGTTTTAAAACGCGTTTTTGACTACATTAGCATCCTTGTCATGAGCTCCTGATAGCACTCAAATTATAGTGTTCTTTCGATGCATCTTTATTAAAGTTGTTATATTTTCTAAGAATTTCATAACTGTTTGATCAATGTGCTTCTTTTAGACCTTGATTATGTTTTTATATTCTCGTATGCCTTTTTATATTATTTTTGCTTTTTGGGATAAAATATAATAAAAGATTATTTGGATCACCCATTGGATAAAGTTTGAGGACCAAAGGGTTAAATTCTAGAAGACTAATGAGGTTTTCGTATATCAAACAAAGTCCAAATGAGATGAAAGTCTACTTGGAGTCATTTAAGTCCAACATAGGGCTGCAAATGAGCCGAGCCGAGTTGTACCTCAGCTTGAGCTCGGCTCGTTTATTAACGAGCCAAGTCGAGTAGAGTTCGCCAGCTTGTTATATTCATTTTGTATGGCATGTATGATACATGTGATTAATGTCAAGATGATGATGATGATGATGATGATGATGATGATGATGATGATGATGATGATGATGATGATGATGATGATGATGATGATGATGATGATGATGATGATGATGATGATAATAATAATAATAATAATAATAATAATAATAGTTAAGTGTTCAATATTAACTAATCTCATATTATACTTTGTGCTATCATATTATTTAGTTAATAGATTTTAACTAGTCAAAATTATGTAATATCATAGTATCGAAGCAATCTATGATATATAATTTCTTTTTAAAATTAAATAAGACACATTTGCTCGCATAATCTATGTGTTAAACTTCATATAGGGTGAGATATATAATTTAACAATCCTATGAATTATCAAAATCAAACTCATATAGATCGATTCACTCATAAGTTGGTAATCGAGTTGGCTATCTAGCCATAATGTTGAGAGTTGAGACATATCATGAGCTCTAAACGATCCAGCTCACGAGTTAAGCTCAACAATCCACCGAGTCGAGTTCCCGAGTCTAACGCCGAGCCGCTCGCGAGCATTTCGGCTCATTTGTAGCCCTAGTCCAAGAAAAAGTTGGTAGAACAAACAAAGAAAATCAACCACACTAGGATCAAGTCGTCAGGCTGAGCAAGCCCAATATGGCCCAAATTCATCTAGGAGCTTTTTCTGGGCCATGGACCCCATATTCATGAAGAAACCCATCACGAGTACAACCGCCATGTGGCCGCCTCTAGCCCTAGGGTTTTGGAATCTTGTAGGAGTGTTTTTCTTTGTCCCCAAGTAAAGAAATCATAGTTCAAGTCAAAGAAGGAAGCTTTTCGCCGAGTTTATGAAGCAAAAACCCCAAAACCCCTTATTACATTATATTATAAATAGAGGTTTATGCTATACTTTCAGAACAAGTAAACAGACATATACCAAAATAACCTTAAATACACAAGTTGAAGGTTCAAGGCTTGAACCCTCAAGCATGTGGGGATTAAAAGATTTTCATTCGAAGTTCTGGAATTTTCTTGAAATAAAGGTTTCCTATCAGTTTGATCCTGTTAGCATCCATGGGAGAGATGAAATTATGTCTTAGTTTGATTGAGATGTCTTCATCATAGACGGTGACATCATCTCTCTCTGCTATCTAAAGCATTTGTTGTTTAGATATGTGAATTCTATGATGTTTTATACATTACTTTTAATGATTTAATGAGATGCTTATATTATTTCATGCATTTATCATCTATTATGTGATATCTTGGTTTTGCTTATGATATCATCATAAGTTGTTTGGAAACTTATCTTAGATGGTATGCTATTGCCTTATGCATACTTTCATACTTGTATATGATCAATGTTTGGTAGCTCAGATCACCAAAGTCAAGAAATAATGTTACGTGCTCATAGAGGCCCTAAATAGCAACGTGCTATTAGTACTTCCTTGTTCTTGATTGATTAGTTAGTGACATGAAGGCAAAGCACACATTAACGAGTTGTAGTTCATTTTTCATGTGGCAAAAACTCGATTTGGAATGCACTAGTGGAAGCGATTGAGCATCATAAAATAAGATATGCATGAATGCATGTCATTAATGAGTTAGTATACATGATGATCATTTAGATGAAGCTACCTAAATAATAATATAAATTACTTGCTTTAATCCTTGTTCAATCTACTTGCTTTTGTACAGGTATGGAAGCTATAATTGTAAACCACGATCGAATCTACGGAAGCATTATTTTTATATGCTTTATTACATAGAAATCGGCCAACATTCGAGAACCTCAACCCATCATGTTTACTTTTTATTGTACTTTATTCAAGCATAAGTGGTTAGTTTCAAAGTAGTTTTTCACCAAAACACCTATGCAATATAACCCTAGACATTTCTAGAATTTATTGCTTTGCGATATACTACAATCGCATCAACGCCCACAAAATCAATCGTTCCTGAGAATCTGTGGTATGAGTATTTCATGTTCCTATCCAAGCATCCCTCAACAAAATCTTAGAGCCTTCTATGACAAGGCATAGAGTATATGTCCGATTGCACACTATGGACGCCAAAGCCTGCTAGAATGAATAAAGGAAGTGATCGTATTTGACAATTGACAGTGTATCCTATGGTATGGGGTGGTGGGAGTACGGTGTCTAATCCATTTGCTTGGCTATCATGTTGACATTAGCCTCATGGTAGTAATCCAACAACTGAGTATATATCTTATGGTTTACCTAAGACAAGACCCATCACCACCTAAATGTGAGGGCTTGCCCCTCTGAAACCTTCCACGGCTCCAATTGATTCAGTCTCAGGATGGAGAAGTGATCGTAAATCCAGCATAGCGGTAAGGTCAAACAATTGGTCACTCCACGGCCTTCTCCCAGGAGGCCACACAAAACTATCCATATCCAATGATGACACGGTAGAAAGTACTTTTGCATACCCCGTTGTTATGACTAGAATTGCTTGAATTTCACATATTTAGTGTCATAATCACTTGTATTTTCTTGATAATCAGTTAAGGTGCGTTTTAGTAGTTTTATGATTGTTTTTATAATTTTGATAGTGTTTCATGTGCTTTCAAGGCCCGACTACTGGGAATCGGATTAGAGATTGGACCGAAGTCCAAAAAAATGTGTGGCATTTCGTCAACCTGATCCCAACATGGTGCCTAGTAGGTTATACAGTATTAGTAACAGTGATTTTACATAAATGAACGATATTATTATATAATATTTACTTTCTAGTAATGAAAAATAGTTATTTTCTAGTTTGTGTGGCTAATTGGTCCCTGAAAAAGGAAAATGGGATTGGAATAGGTTGTGGAAATTTCTGCCTCTTGATTGTGTTTGATTGTAGGTCCTAAACTCCTAAAGCAGTGCTGAGAGATGAACTAACTATATTGGAAATCGAGATGGATGAAAGATTTAGGCTCAAATTTGTCTACAAACTTGCAGCCGATGAGCTTGAGGGTGAGCCTGAAAGGTCGGGAAGGGGTATTTGAAAGTAGAAAGTGTCTAACAGCATCAAACATTTTCTATGGCTTGCAACTCACTGTCGCCTCATCACCAACAAAGAAAGAGCAAAGAGAATCTCACAATGAAGGAAACAATGAAACATATTATTCGCTCCTTCACAAAATCCAAAGACATATGTACTCATTTCAAATCAAAGATTATTGAACAAAGGCACAATGTTGATATTTGAAGCTATCTTGCCACGAACGAAATGCATTTTGAGAATTGAATTGACTTTGGAATCGTATGATCGAACCTATGTAAACAGTGGAATGGAGAAGCCATGAAAGGGAGGTTGTACTGAGAAGCAAGGCTGATCTAGAGAACCACTAGTTGGTTTAACATGAGCAAGCAAGCCTAATAGAGTGTAAAGAAAATCATCTAGCATGCGAACAAAGATCGAGTGAACCGACAAATTGCTAGGAACCCACCTGATGGAGATTGGGTTTAAATTCAGTTATTCAGGTGGATGGCTCATTGATAACTTCAACTAGGGAAGCACTGACGAGAGGAGTATTACACTACTAGTTAGGGAACTGAAAAGAGCCTTCTTTTGTTGACTAAGAGTGTGTTTGACCACAAAAGATGAGCTTGAAGGCGCAAAATGGCTTGGCAAAAAGTTAGAGAAAAGTCCAACATAACCTCGTCTCAACAACTACAATCGAAATTATCAAGAATGCTAAATAATAAGACTATCCACATGGCCTCATGACCCAGTGGATCATGTGCTGGAATTTTTAATGGTGTGAATTGTAATGAAAGGGGAAAGATCCAGTAGAATCTCTTCAAGTACCATGTTGGTAAGCCGTGGGAAGGCGTGGCCGCGAATTC